CCAGCGTTCCAGGAATCTGGATACGGCAATGCTGCCGTTTGACGAAATTCGTCTGCTAAACGGATGGATACGTCATACAACGGACGTGACGTCACATACTGAGGAATTTCCGTAATGTATGTTTTTTTATTCCAATTTAAGGGCACAAATTCATAATAACAAAAGAAAAGAGGACATGAAATTCTGATATCATAGTGGAAGGCAGAAGGATTGTACACTGATTAATAATTCTGATGTTTTCGTCGGGCAACCACTATGTACGGCTCTTTATAACATCGGCGAGTATTGCCTCATATTTGGTTTAATTGTATTTCTTAGGACGAATTAGTCTATTTACTAATTTTGGATAAGTGTCCCATGAACTAGTTTCGTGCTCTTTCATATGTAGAAAGCAGAAATGATATTGTAGGGTTTCGTGGATATAATGTTGTCTAGCTCTCAGGATGGATGGAAACTCTAAGGTGGTTTTCTTAAATAATATAAGTTATATGGTAGACAGTCTGGTGCTGGAGGTGCCGTGTGGTGAGGAGCTGCTCAGTAGACACGTTCGGTGAGTAGCGTGTTGAAGGAGGTAGATGTGCAGGAGCTTCGTTAGAGAAGATGTTGTCTGTTGCTGGCCTCCAGGTTGAATGAGAACGGGACAGCGAGGAGCTTGCTTGGAGGAGGTGTTGCGTGTTCAGGAACCGAGAGCAGAATAAGAGAGCTGGTTGGTGAGGACGCTCAGAGAAGGACAGCTGGTGGGTCGCCATGCTCGCCGGCGGGAGCGAGGACCGGCAGACAGGCGGAGGAGAAGCGAGGGCCGCCAGGCAGCGGCGGAGGAGGAGGTGTTGCGTGTTCAAGAAGAGAGGCCAGAATGAATCTCAATGGAGAGACAGAGCTTATATACCCAGCAGCCGTGAGTCACCGGTGAGTCATGGTGGGAAACCCCGGGAAGTGAAGTAGCCGGTCTTTTGGCTCCGTTGCTAGGATACTGTGGCATCTGGTGACGCCCCCCCCTGGGCCGCTCGTTTGGTTGCTAGGGAATACGTAGCAGGTGGCATGCAGCTACCCAGTTGTAGGGGAGACGTCCACTACAATATCATTCAAGATAATCTACTTAATATTTCTTTATACACACCTGTATTCATGACCTTGACTTACGGTTATGTCAAACTATAACAAATTACCTCCGACTAAATTGTCTGTGTATTGAATCTCAGTGCAATCTCCTTTCAGAATTACTGTTCACTAATATCTTTGGTGTTTCTTATGCATAAAGAGACTTTGATTCCTGCAGTCATCAATCTGTCTTGGTAATTGGTGTATTTACTGTTGTTATTACACACTCAATGAACTTAACTAATTTCGCTTACGTGGATTATATGTATATATGCAAGTAAACTTATATTTAACTAATGGTTCTCTGCAATACCGATATATTCAGTGAAATCCTATGCATACCATATGGATGAACGAAGACTATTTAATGCTCGTGAAAGTCATCGTCTAACATAATCTCAACAACTGACATCTCCATGTTAAAACCATAAGAACATAAGAATGGAGAAAACTACAGCGGGCCTATTGGCCCATACTGGGCCGTCCCATTTACACCCAACCCCTATTGTTCATATAAGCATACAACCTATGTTTGAAGCTATCCAGCGTATTCGAGTTAATGATGATATTTGGTAACTTGTTCCATTCATCTACTACTCTGTTTCCAAACCAGTGTTTACCAATTTCGCGCCTAAATCTAAATTTGTCTAATTTAAAACCATTGTTGCGAGTTCGCTCTTGGTTGGATAGTTTGAGTACCTTTGTAATGTCCCCTTTGTTTAGCCCTGACTTCCATTTATACACCTCAATCATGTCGCCCCTCGCTCTACGCCTCTCGAGGGAGTGCAAATTAAGACGCTTTAACTTGTCTCTGTACTCAAGGTTCCTAATGCCTGGGATTAGTCTTGTCATTCTCCTCTGGATTCTTTCCAAGGATTCTATATCCATTCTGTATTACAGTGACCAGAACTGCACTGCGTAATCCAGGTGTGGTCTCACAAGAGCAAGACACAGTTTTAGGATGACCTCGCTAGTCTTGTAACTAACACTCCTTTGTATGAACCCAAGTACTTTATTAGCCTTGTTACAAGCAAAAACACATTGTTTACTTGGCTTAAGATTCCTACTTATCATTACTCCTCAATCTCTCTCGCAGTCGGATTTCTCAATGGCATAGTTGTTCATCTGGTAACTGGTTTCCCTGTTTACGTCTCCAATACTGAGTACCTTACAATTGTCCACATTGACTTTCATCTGCCATTTTTCAGACCATTCGAAATTTTTTTTAGATCTTCCTGTTGTTTTGCGGAGTCCTCGTCAGATTTAATTACACTTCCTATTTTAGTGTCATCAGCAAATTTACTTATGTTGCTGTCTATGCCGATATCTATGTCGTTTATGTATATAATAAATAATAATGGTCCAAGTACTAAGCCTTGGGGAACTCCACTAGTGACGTTGCTCCAATGGGATTTAGTGCCGTTAATGCTCACTCCCTGTTTCCTGTCCTGTAACCACGCCCTAATCCAATTTAGAATATTACCTTTAATGCCATGTGCTTCTACCTTTCTTATTAGTCTTTCCTGGGGGACTCTGTCGAAGGCTTTGCTAAAGTCGAGATATACCACATGATAATTGTGCCCCTCGTCCACCGATTCGAAAACTGATGAAAAGAATGTTAATAGATTAGTTAGACATGAACGCCCGCTTGTGAAGCCATGCTGGGAATTAACGATCAATTTGTGCTTCTCCAGGTGGTTTTGAATAGAGTTTGAAATGATTCATTCCAGTAATTTGCCTGCAATTGATGTTAGACTGATTGGACGGTAGTTAGAGGATAGTGATCTATCCCCCTACTTGAAAATCTGTATAACATTCGCTATCCTCCAGGATTCTGGTACTACACCTGTTTTTAAGGACATGTTAAACAACTTTGCTAAGGGCATACTAAGCTCTTCCTTATATTCCTTTAGTACTCTGGCAAATATCTCATCGGGGCCAGGCGACTTATTAGGCTTTAGTTTGTCTATTTGCTTACTAACATCGTTACTAGTCACTACTATCTCGCTTAATTTGTTTTCTTCACTATCTCTGAATAGAGTCGGTGCCTTTGGTATCATGTTTAAATTTTCGGTGGTGAAAACTGTTGAAAAATATTTATTCAGATTATTGCTCATTTCTCCGTCGTTATCAGTTAGCTCGCCGGTATCTGACTGTATTGGCCCAATCTTTTCTCGTATTTTAGTTTGATACATTTGATAGAATCCCTTGGGGTTTGTCTTCGTCTCCCTTGCTATCCTCAGCTCATTATTCCTCGTCGCTTTCCTTATCTCGGTCTTAACCCTACCGGCCAATACTTTATAATAATCCCGGAGGTAAATTTCGCCACGATTTATCCTCCTACCTATAGCCTTCCTTTGACCAATAATGTTCTTTAAATAATTATTTATCCATTTAGGGTTATTGTTGTTTGATCTGAGTTTTTTGTATGGTATGTTTTGCCTTTGTGCATTAAGTAACTCATTATTTAATGCTTCCTCGTCCCAATTTCCAAGAAAAATGGTGGTCAACGGATGTTTCCAGCTCTTGGCTAGCTCGAGTACCAGGAACTCCTACCAAGGTATGTTGTCAGGTTTGCCCTAAATACCTACGTAAGTGCCGAGATATCTTCATTGAAACGAAACGCCATCGCACCTCAAGACAGCATGTGGGTATGGGAGAACCCCTCAAAGCTAGAACCTCTGCTCCGGGTGGTACTTTTGCTCATTGTGGTCAACCTGGCGGTGGCGCCTTTGATTAACCTGGCACGTCTTCCCAGGATTGGCATGTCCTCACCCTCTGGGGATACGTTACGTGCTGTGGCGTATGCAACTATCCTATTCGCAGTGTTCTTGGAAGAACCTGATCTGCCTTTCAGGTAACTTAATGCTTGTTTTCTCTTGTATTTTAGCCCAGAATATAATGGCACTGCTCAATAAGCGGTCGTGTTAATATATCCAAAATAAGGGTGGCAGAATACCTTACTCGTTTAGCAACATATGCTCTCGTAATCTTCAATTACAACTATAGCCTAATAATTGTAATATTCCTTTTAGCTTATGTGACCACCTTGTCGACCTTAATAAGCGAATACTTCCCGACTCCAAGACAGACACTCAAATGACAATGAAACGGTCGTCGTGCAAGCCTTAGGGGAATGTGCAAATCAAAACCTGGTTGGGAAACGACAAAATATAAATTTAGCGTAATAATTGATGAAAGTACCGACTGTTCAGTAAGTAAATCATGTGCAGTGATAGTAAAATATTTTTATCCGGATGGAAATTACATAAAAATTGCGATGTTGGATTTGACTGACCTATTTGAAGGTAATCAGGGTTCGACTGGTGAAAATATATATAACATGCTATTACAATCCCTCACTACACATGAGATACCATTGACCAACTTCATTGGCTTTGGTGCGGATGGAGCATCAACCATTATGGGTGAATATAACAGTGTAACTAGCAGAATGGAAGTTCAAATGCCTGGTATGAACATATTTAAATGTGTTGCGCATAGTATAAATCTCTGTGCCAGCGAAGCCTTAAAGACCTTGTCACGTACTTGTGAAGATTTGTTGAGAAATGTGTACAATTACTTTTCCCATTTTGCCAAAAGGAAATGTGAGTTTAAGGAATTCCATGTTTTTTGTCAACTCAAACCACATAAAATACTTCATGCCTGTGCCACGAGGTGCCACGAGGTGGTTGTCACTCCATGAAGCTGTTGCAAGAATACTCGAACAGTGGCAACCCCTCAAACTGTATTTCCATAGCAGGGTAATTGAGGAGAGACTTGTGGCTGTGCAGAACATAACTG